TGCTCCTAGTAGTACGGCCAGGAGCCCCTAGTAGCGTTCTTGCTCCTCCATTTTGGAGCCACATCGGCTCGGTTTTGATTCAGCCTTCAACCATTCACCACCGATTGACATTTGGAGGCATGCACCACAGAGAAGAAGGAGGCTTGGCCGGCCTGGCCTTCTGGAAGTATTTTTAAGCTCCCAATTTTGCTGTGCATGTTGCTCTCAATTTTGCTTCGGACTTGGGTGCCACGGTGCCTGAGGAGGATCAGGAGCCTGAGAAGAAAGACTGGGGTCATGATTCGCAGGCAAGGCTCCGAAAGGGAAGAACCTTTGTTTGTCGCTGCAGTGATGATCAGACGAGTGATAACTATTTCGTGCCAATTCTCGGGTCATTAGTAAACATCAATAAACATCATAAAACATCCCTCAGGCATTTGGCAGCATTGAATTCAAATTCTCCAGGAGGCTCAGACGAATCGCTGGGAAGAGAGTCGCAGTGGACACAGGTCCGTGAACGCCATTGATGTGCAATACATTTATATAATCCTGCATCCAATTCCCGTTTCCACATGTCACATTTCACGACGCACTCATTTCTGATGTCTTTGGCTTGGAGTGAAATAGACATCCTGAAACCAGGCAAAACAACCGAAAGACCTGGCGCGATGGCGAAGGCAGATCCTTGTTTCAGATCGCTGTCATTAGATGGGCGTTGTTACTACAAGCCTCTCAGAAGTCTTGGCTCAAATCTCAAGTAGTGGTGGTCGGTATTGCCAAAACGGTCTTTGGTCATATATGTCTTATTATTTCTTTTGGTTTTATGCTAGGAGTTCTGAGGGGATATGGCCAGACTTGCTTGCTTTGGGCGAGAGACGGTCTCTAAGAGTGACTACTCTTACAGATCTGAATACACTTGTTCTCGAGGATGCTCTTTGGATGGAATGCACCTGAAAGAACTTTAACGTTCATAGTAGGATACAAATGTATGACCAGTGCCCCAAAGAGGGAACGACGGCAGTTCACGACTTGGCCAAAGCGAAGGCAGAGAGACGATCAAGCTCAAATCATGGCTGGTCGCACTTTAACCTCAGACATGGTCCATTTGTTTTGGGAGAATTAGTGCCGACAAAGTGTTTGGACCCCTGCGCAAGTTCCATGCATCACTTCTCACTGACCTGCAATTCAAGAGCTTTCATATAGTCTATATACTTTTTCTTACCTTACTTAACTGCTCAAGACCCACCTTAACTGTCAGAAGCCACCTGGAGAATCTGGAGAACTTTGTGTTCACAGTTGAGGGTAAACGGTACAAGACACGTCTTGCCGTTTCTGCGCTGCTGGAATAGCTTTTTTTTGCGAGCAACATGTGACATCCTAACTTTAACTATGTGAGTCATAGGTGTGGATATCCGAACCCCCCCACTTCAATGAATCACACAGATCATTTAATTAATATATGCATATTCCTTTGTCACCGTTGGTCATTCCACAATCTCGTCACTGGATGTGTCATTTCTTGCCTCTGTGTTCGATGGGTGGTAGATTCTACACATGTTCTTTACAATGTTTTAAGTTCTACAAGGCTTCACGACAAACGAAAGTTGCTGCAACGCTTTGAGCTTTCGACTTTAGACGGTTCTACAGAAAGATTTTCAGACCTCAACTTTTACACAGATTAGCTTGTACAACGTTCGAATTTATCATGTTTTTTCTCGGAGATATAGATAGATACATATATAGAAGGTGCTGCTGTGTTTTAAGTTTTACAAAGCCTGTTCAACGTCTTTACAACGTTCTACAGAGTGTTCAATTGTATACAAAGTCTTTGCAAAGTACCAAACCTGTTACAAAGTTGGATGACTCCAAGTTTTTTCACAGTTTGCACAGTTTTAGAAAAGTTATATAGATCGGTTTGAACACAGTTGAAAAACTGTGTCAACTCTTTTACACAGTGTTCGAATGCTAAACAGAGTGTTTACCAACCTGTCCACACTACAAAATGCTTGGTGAAGCACATAATAGATACAAAAGAGTCTTGATGAACAGCACTTATTTTGAGTAAAACAGGTGCAACAGTGCAACATTTGTTATTCCCCAATAATACCCAGTTATACAATTGCTTTACAAAGTCTTAACAAGTTTTCGATTCACACAGTAGTTTTTTTGCAAGCTTTTTCGACTTCACAGAATGGTTTTATTTTGTGGTATTAAAGCAGGGGGGTGCAGAGCACAGTGGAGACTGCACCCAACGAAGCTATCCACCTGCTGGAAGCAGAGCCTGATCTGCTTCCAGCAGGTGGATAGCTTCGTTGGGATCAAGTCTGTGTACCTGCTAATTAGCTTTTGACTTGACGCTACCTCCTGGGTCCCGTTTGAATTTAGAACAACTTTGTCCATTCCATCCAGACACGCGCTCGTCGTTCAAGTCTTTTGATTGGTCTTGATGTTTTGAAACATGGAACTTGGATGAACTTGGATGAACTAGTAACAAGAAGCTACTAGTAACAAAGGGCATCGCTACTAGGAGCAAGGACGCTACTAGTGGCTCCTGGCCTTACTACCAGTAACAAGAAGCTACTAGTAGCTATTTAAGCAGCTATTTGCTAGTTTGTACCCCTTGGCACTTAGGTTTTTGTTCATACCGAGGTTTCCAGGGCTGGGTGCAATCAGACCGTACGTGCTTCATAAGGGTGAGAAGACGTTTCTTCATGGTTGCTGGCTGTGGATGTGTTCGGCAAGTGTTTTAAGCCCCCCTTTCAAACTCTCCAAAACACTTATATAATCTCTCGCAAACAACATTGGTGCAAAAGCACTTCTTGCAAGTTAGACCGCAACTCGAGAATCAAACTATAGATATGATATTATATATATATATTTGCATACTATGCCCATCATCAAGAAATTGATGTTTTGGTAAAGAAATCGTCAAAGAAGGCCAGCATCACTGGGATGACCATCGCAAGGATGAAGGCAGGGCCGTGAAGGTTCAATGAATTGGTAGACAGACAACCACACAATTAATTCACTTTCTGGGAAACAGACACAAAACATTCCTTGCGGTACTGGGGGCAAGTCCATTTGCGACAATGCTAAACTGAACGGACCATTGAACTGTGTTGAGTCCTTTCATCGTGGAGAATCTTTAAACTCCAGTGCAAGCAACATCGGGTCTTGGGTCACCTGTGAGGTTCGGGAGCCTGGGACAACTGGGACTATGGCTGGAAGGGCAAGGGCCGCAACACTCGCCGAGCACAGAGACAGGCGCCTGCTGCGGCAGGGCAGTTTGGGCGGAATGGTTCAAGATCCAAGCTGACTAATCTGAGTGGGAGGTGGATTCGATTTGTTCTAGTGATTCTAGTTTTGACTCTGGGGCAGAGAAGGACAGGGTTTGTTCTCTTTTCTTTCTTCCTTCCTGACATTTGAGCATTTTTGCTCAACGACTTGTTGAACTCCCAGTGACATGTAGAATGACAGGCGGGCTATGACACATGGACTGACCGCGAATGGCCCTGATCTCACAAGGGTCGGAATGCAGAATGCTGTGTCAGGCCAGTAGTCACAGTGGTCTTGCATGCGATTGCATTGGTCCAAATTGTACGATGACGGATAAAAACACTTAGGCGCTCGTGGTCTCACTACAAAGAGGAGCCTGAATCTTCACCTACACAGGAGCTATATGATGTTTAAGTTTGCATTCTTCCACATGGTGGAATCGAAAGCAAAGGAAGCAGAACTCAAAATGTCATGAATTTGAGTGGTTATGTGGGTTCATTCAGAAATTTGTTTGGCATAGCTCGGCTCTACGCATGATATTGTATGATAGAAGCTGATTTCCAACCACATGACATACTCATACTTTCCCATGGAACCAACGGTGCATGGTCGTCCTAGTGCTTGCTCCCAAATAGCAGAGAATGGATCCCGTGCAAAAGTGAGGAGGAAGCCCCGCGTGGAGAGGAGGAGCCTGCTGAAGGCAGGAGATTGTTTTGAATCTGCTGACTCAGGGTCAAAGTGATATATAATATCAACAAAGCAATATACTGTATAAGGGAACCGTTCTTTTTTTTGAGGGTTAACTTCTGCAAATTCTATAGAACTATTCATTCACCATCCACAGGCTTTGACACTGTTGAGCCTGCCCTACACAATTCAGACTGGTTTGTGAAGGAGGTGTTGCCTCAGATTTGTTGCTGTGATCTAGGCAGCACGACTGCCAGCAGCAGCTGCGCCCTCGAGAGTGGAACTGCAAAGATTGACCAATTATCAAGCTTGCACACATGATCAACATTCACCGGAAACAGCTGGAATGCTGATCTAATGAGTTTCTCAAGTGACCCCTCCGTTGATGCTGCTGTACCGCTTTCTTTTTTACAATGGTTTGATGCTCCAGCCTTCATAGTACTTTCGCAATTTTGGAAGCCAGCATTACTTCAGAAAACATGTGTGTAAGGCTCTGAGAACCTGGGTGCATCGCAAGGGGATTCAGGCGCTAGAAAAGAACCTGATCGGTGTATGATATTTTTTTCCGTGAAGTCCTTGAGTTGTTCTATCGGTCTGTTGATTTGGTTTGATATAGTTTGTAGAGAGTTCCAGGCTACACCACAGTGATGCTTCGCAACATTCCCAACAAGTACACCCGGGAAATGCTGGTGAAGCAGCTGAACCAGGCCACAGCGACGCAAGAAGCACAGCTCCAGTGCACCAGAAACACGGTTCCGTGACGAACCAGATACACTTAGGTAGTAACAGGTGCCACGCTAGTAGTAACAAGTGCCACGCTAGTAGTAACAAGTGCCACGCTAGTAGTAACAGGTGCCACGCTAGTAGTAACAAGTGCCACGCTAGTAGTAACAATTAGAATTAAACTAAATTTAAAGAGCAAGGGCATCGCAATTAGGGGCTCCTGGCATCGCTACTAGGAGCAAGGACGCTACTAGGGGCTCCTGGCCTTACTACTAGGAGCAAGAAGCTACTAGTGAAACACACAGAAATGGATGACGATAACTGAGCAGGATTGAGTGCCACCCCTTGCTTGGTCCTTTTGGCGCTTGCTGTTTTGCCTGCAGGATTTCAAGGGCCGCTTCGACTTTGTCTACTTGCCCATCGATTTCAAAAAACAAGTCTTGCTTGCAAAGTTGTTGCAAAGACATGTCACAACAACTGTTGTAAAAGCTTTATTCATCTTTATTCCTTCATGCATCCTGGATGTGCTGAATGATTCATACTCCTTTTTTGTCTCTGCTGTACCCAATGCCGGGAACTCTGGGAATGATGGCTCTATTGAATCCGTTAGCAGCTCGATGAGAGGGCCATGATCTGTTTACATGCGTCAGTTTTGAGACTTTGAACTGTGTGCGCATCAGTGTATATACATTTGCCAGCGATTGCGCATGGTTGGCCAGATGCAATGTTGGATATGGCTTCGTGAACTTCCGCACTTCAGCCTCATGTGACGAGTTCATCGCCAAGCCACAAGCCAAGTATTGCGCGAGATCTGAAGGATGCCAGGATGTCATCGGAACGAAGAGTTGAGTAGATGCCGTGTGATGCTAGCTGGGTTCAATTAGGTTCAATGTACTCAATTAGGTTCAATGCATGTTTTATTCTGCGTGGCCCTAACCAGACCATGCTTGACACTGCTTCAGGTATGACGGAGTGGATGTGCGCAAGTGTCTTCCTGGGTCCAACTCCCTGTTAATGCAGCTGAGCGCGTTTGTAAGCTCGATGCAAGTGGACAGCCAGGCTCAACTCCAAAAAGATTGCTGGCGTCACGCCAGCTCGGGTGCAAGGCTTGGAGGAGCTTTGGAGCACTGCCGGAAAGAGTCAACAACATGTCGGGGCAGACATGTGAAGCATGATGAAGCCTGTTTTTGGATGCCAATTCGGACTCCAGGAGAATGTGCGCCGATTGCGGACAGGCCAAATATCTGGGTGGATGGCTTGAAATGATCTCATTTCTGCAACAAACTGTGTTGGCCGACTCCGATTTGGTTGGAGGACGATGACGGCACCATTTCTCCTTAAGATGCAATTTCTCATGACTTGATGGTCAAAGCAATGCAATTAGTTGAGTTGATGGTCAAAGTATACTGTGCGGGAGAAACACCCATGGAGTCGTGCAAGACTTTTGTCACACTGTATGGCACTGGCAATGTACCAAGCTTGAAATGACTGCCAGTGAGTGGGACAAAAATCAGCCAATGATGTCGAGTTGCAGGTCCTGTCATGAACGAACTCGTGAATCATCCTGATTGGATGCCTCTACTGTTGGACGACAAGGGAGAGGCACATGCAACACCGGTGAAACTGAACGGTTGCAAAAAGGATTGGTTGAAAAGAAAGGAAGGGAACACAGCACAACACAGAGGTCTTCAGGTAAGGAAGAAAAAGAGAAGAAAGAAAAGCATAACAAGAAAAGGAACAACAAGGAAGAAAGAAAAGGGGAAGAGGTCCACAACTATTTGAGGTTTGGCAGACAATGTGAGCTTTTGGCCTGGTCCGACTATTAAGCATTTGCCCAATTTCAATAGTAACATGTAGCCATGAATTGAATATCATCACTACCAGTCTGTCGGTGCAGTGGCATTTGAGGGCGAATCGCAGGCCATGCCATTTCCAATGCCTGATCATCCAGCTCCAGCAGCTCAGCTATTGCATTGCGAGCAAGAACAGGGTGATCATGACACCACAAAAAGTCTGTGTCATGTTGTTGTACCCCACCCAGTTTGATTCAGCCATATAATATTTTGTACCAAAACTGTAGGGGCATGTCTCCGAAGGACAATGAAGACGTCACTGAGGGGCTATCCAAATCTAGTTGGGGAAAGCCACAAACCATAAGCAGGTTCGGAATGTATTCTTATTTACTTCAATACAAACGAAGGACGAATGGAAGAAAGAACTGAATAAAAAAGAAAGGTCTAAGAAACGGAACAATAAACAAAAGAACAACATAGGAAAACAAAAGGGTAGCAAGAAGCTACTGGTAACAAGGGCATCGCTACTAGTAACAAGGGCATTACTACTAGTAGCATGTCTCTCCCCACAGTGACTGGTTGCTCGAATACTCCTCGATGTACCAAGGCTCCAAAGCTCAAGAGGCGTGCACGTGAGGAGCACTCAGGCGAAACTCGCAAACGAGACTCATTTGGAAGACTTTGCAACAAAATGTCTCACCAGTTTCTCAACAGTCTCAATTATTGTTGCATCATATTCTAGAAGCGCTCTAAATGAAGATGAACTTTGCCGCTCAATTCACATCTATTCACAGTGCTTGCCGCTCATCCAAAGTGTCAGAGCTAACTTTGCGACCATCCTTCGCTGAAATGTTCTCTCCGACCCTCTGACCTTTGCTTCGTGGACCTGATTTGCCTGCCTTCCAGGTGGGCGAGGGTGGTGAACTATGCAGGAGGAAACCTGGAGGTTCACGTGATGGAGACCTCCACTTAGCACAATGTGTTTCTGTGAAAGCACTTTTCGGGTGAGTCCTTGCCAGATGTTGAAAGTTTGCAACTTGCAGACTGCCTTTGAGGTGGAGTGGATGCAACATCGTTTTTTGCAGGTGTTTCCAGCATACAGCTAGAGACAAAGCAGGAAAATTTTGTGTCCCTACCGCTTCAAGCAAAAGTCAAGAAGCCTTGTCGAACCTTCAGTTCGGATTTATGGCACCCGTTATTTCCTTGCACGAAACGACTTATAATCATAGACTCATTTTCAGGTGAGGACACGGGACATTCTTGCTGTCTATATGCTGGAGCTTACCGTAATGTGGGGATTGCATGGGATTACTGCGGTGTCTCAAGCATTGCTAGCACCAGCTCAAGAAAAGATGAAGAAAGAACAGTTAAAGAATGGCCTTCAAGGACAGGAATTCTCAACTTGGAAGTACAAGATGTTTCCTTGAGCTGGTTTGCAATCCTTATCCCCGAGAGCCGAGGCTTGCACTTCGCATACATAGCAGCCGCTAAGTTTTCAGGCATGAAATGTAAAGACCAATCACACCCACTTCACCAACAAAGTGAAAGAAAGGATAGAACCGAAAGAGCTTACATAGCCAATATGCTTCCTGTGCACAGCTTCAGCTCATGTGAACGACTTGGGGCAAGGCGGATGAGTCACCATAATTCTTCGATCTAAGAGAGAGCCTGACAATTCTCGGGCTATTCGGCACAGAGCTGATGAGTGGGCCTTTTTGGGACTTACCCTCTGTAGGCAGCTTTTTTAGAGCATAGCTTAGACTCAAAACAACGCTACAGTACTCGTGTACTGACCACGATGTAACTCTCCATGGATTTCCTGTTGCAACCGCAAATCAGGAAATGACAATTGGATTATCTGGAAATTGATTGTTCGAAGTTGTGAGATCTTGGTTCTGCACCCAGCCAATGACTGACAAAAAGCGACATTCTTTTGGGCGTTCGCTTTGCTCCTTTACCCTGCAAGAGTACTCAATTGACCCAGAGAATGATGCTTCCAGAAGCTCTCACGTTGGCAATGGAAACCCAAATCAAGGAAGAGTGCGCTCATCCTTCAGTACCCACGTCTTCACCGGAAATCTCTCCAAGGAGAGAAGCGTAGCAGACGCTTTTGAATTCGATCCTGTGGCATGGATGCCTTTTCAAGAAAAGAATCCAATGGCTGGCGTTGGAATGACAGTCGAATATACAGAGATGATACAGGCCCATACAGGCCCTTGCCACAGGATGTAGCATGGCGTCACTCAACGCGCATTTTCCTACCTGCAGCTCAGCACTACAACAGCTTCAACTTGAGGTAGTGAGGTCACAATTTTTTGCACGTGACTTTCCAAGACAACATAGGAGAACTGAGAGCGTTCTCAAACTCCATCGTGGACAAGATCAAATCGAATTCAACAAAAGCGTTTGCATCTTCTGTAGACCGCGCCACGTGGTGCTTTGATTCAAGAGGGTGGCTTAAGATGAACCCCGTGCCACCCTCTTTTGTGCTTTTTGTTTTTTTTTGGTGCCTCACCCATCAGGTTGAAGTGGGTGCTGACTGTGAACTGGTGCCTGCTTGCTAAAAGCACGTTGTGCAAGTCATGAACGGCTTTCCCAAAAGATGCGGCATCGGCTGGCTTGTCCTTCTGACTAGCACAAGGTGCACAGCTGGCGGCAGGCAAAGTAGTTGTGAAACCGTGGTCAGGTAGGGCGAGGTCACAGAAGACAAGGGAGTTGGGAACCACTTGATTTGTGTTGACTTTTTTGTTTAAACGTGTCTTGTTGATTCTCATTAGACTCGTTGGATTTGTTTTATTGCCGACACAGTATGCCCCATTCCCGCTCTACAACGACCTGACCCCTGCAGAGTCAGCAGCTCTTGGACTTGGCGAGAGTACCAAGTGAGACCACGGTGCGGGCAGCAGAGGCGCTTTGGCATATTTTGCGTTCGCGCTTTGCTGGGACAGCCGCGGAGAGCGAGAGACCAAGAATCTCACGCTTCGTAGGTGCGTAGGTTCGGCCAGGTGCTCAAAGATTGACGGTTCGGAAGGTTCTTTGCGACGAACTTAGAGATTTGAAGTGCTCTTGGCACAAGAATTTGAGCTCTGCATGGAGGACAGATGGAAGCCCACCCATTTTTGTTGGCTTCACATGGCAGAGTCCGTTCCAATCTCGTAGATTCTCGCATGCATTCCAGTGGCTTGGAGTCTTGGAGTGATGTGGGTGCCGTTGGGAGTCTCGTTCATGGAGGACATCTCAGGAGTCTGTTCGATGTGGGACTTTGAACAGCACCAAATCGCACTTGCACCAGCATCAAGAACTATTCTTGAATAAGTCTGGCGAGTTGCATATTGCTGCCATTTAGTGGCGGAGAGTGACGGAGAGTGAGGCCACGACATCCTTTAGATTTGACATCATGTGTGCAGATTTTGAGTTTGTTGCGGACTCTAAAGGCCGCTAAGATTGCAGTCTTCTGACAGTTCAAAGAATGGGTACTTGGCTTGCTTTGTGTATAATTACTGGGGTTTGTTGAACCTTTTGAACCAGGACTGCCTCGGACAGCTTTCCACTTATATAAATGTGCCAAATGGATCCAAATGGTGTAGTTTTGCCGTGGTTCTCCGCTGTGCAAGCCATAGCACTGCTCAGAAGCAGTTCAGTGAGGTGAACGGCAACCTGACCAGCATGGTGGCAAGATGTGGCAAGGTAGATAGATCTACTTTGGTCGACCATTCACCTGTGGCAGCACATGTTTTGGCAGCTTGTTTGGGGCTCTGCAGCATGTCAATGTCAAGATCAGCAAATTGAACCTTGACCAAGCCAAGATAATGATCAATCAAGTGATCGAAGCAAAGAGAAACAACCAGGCCAAGATAATGACCAGTCAAATGATCCAAGAAAAGAGAAAGAACCAAGCCAAGATAATGACCAGTCAAGTGACCGAAGAAAAGAGAAAGAACCAAGGCAAGATAATGACCAGTCAAGTGATCGATTAAAAGAGAAAGAACCAAACCAAGATAATGACCAGTCAAGTGATCGAAGAAAATAGAAACAACCAAGCCAAGATAATGACCAGTCAAGTGACCGAAGAAAAGGCAAAGAACCAAGCCAAGATAATGACCAGTCATGTGATCGAAGAAAAGAGAAACAACCAAGCCAAGATAATGATCAGTCAAGTGATCGAAAAGAGAACGCAGGGAGTGGAGAAAGAAGGCAGGAAGGAAGTCAAGGAAAAGAGAGAGGGAGAGAGATATAGAAAAGCTCTCTCCTAGTAGCGTCCTTGCCCTATAGAAAAGGAGTCTTCCATAGTCTTCCACCAAATCGACCTTGACAATGCTTGCGCTGTGGTCATCTCCTGCCACGGTTGGAGCTCAGAAGCTGAGAACGATGCTCGATGGCGCTCGAAAAGCGAAGGAGTTCAAACGGTAGAGGCTCAGAAGGAGCTTCGCCAGTGCTTCGCCTCCTTCTTCAAAAGCTTTGCAAGGCTTTGCATTATGCCAGTCGTGCTTGGCCGATGCTCTATATTTTTGACATTCTTTGACCCCAAAGAGGACTGACGTCTCCTTAGCAACTCTCCTCCCAATGTCTCTAGGTTTGAATAGGACTTCTGACCCCAAACTGTTCAATTTCGCACTTCACATAGTTTGGCATTGATGTGTACAACCTACGTTTAAAATCGTTTTGCTTCTATACTGTACCCTTTGACCCACATAGCCTGTCAGATAGCAAAGACCTACTGTAGCTGGGGAATCGCCAAGACAAATGGCACAGCTGCAATCTCCTACAGCAACGGAGGTGCAGCCGCGTTTGTGAAGCAGCGATGTCTCTTCAATCGAGTTGTCATGCTCGCGAACATCATATCCAGAATCATTTCAGAGATTGCTCTGTAGCAATCATTATTTAATGTGCATGAGCACATCCCGGCGCAAGTCTGCAGCAGAAGGCAGGAAAGTAGCATCAGGCTCAGGCTATTGCTGAACCTGATTTCTTGGACCAATGCGCAACCATTTTGTGATCCTAGGAACCGGATGGAACCGGGAAACACCACAGATTGCAATTCTCTCATCGTGAGTCAGTCTGATGTTTGTGTGTGCACTGTTGAGAGGAGATGAATGCTCAAGCGATTTTGAAGAGATTTTAAAGAGGCCTGAATTAGACATGTCAACAAATGAAACCACGGGTCTGACCTCATGGCATTGCTATCTCAAACAACTTTAATACGTGTGTTCAGTTCAGTGATGGTTTGATTTGTCGTTTTCTAATTGATATTTCCTTTGCACAACCGCATCAACAAGTGGACCCATGTTGTCCTTTGATGCCGTACAACTTGACAGCATGTCAATTGCACATCCATCCTACCTGGTAGCACCCCTACCTGGCCAGCTGCTAGCAGATGCAGAAAAGCCAGCTAGTCACTAGTCATCACTAGTCATAGAGTCGGGACCCCAACAGTAGGGGACGCTTGGACCCTTTCCAAACTGGGCTTGCAACATGTGCTTTGTCACGGCTGTTGAGTATTGTGTGGTTACACAGCTGCAACTGCAACATATAATATGTTTCTATTTATTGATATTTTGCAACCAGGCTTTGGTCCATGTTGAATCTTGGCTGTTTTATACTGCTTTCACTGCATCTTTTCCACTTCCGTGT